CTTGTTTATACTTGCAGTCAAATGAAATAATTTTAAAAATTTTTAAAAATTCGTTTTAGCATTATAAAAAGATTTTTCGGGAGCATGGCTCACGCCACGCCCCCTGCCTTCCCGAGCGAGAATCCTCGGACTCCAGTAAATAGAATGTATATGTTTACTAATCCTTAATCTGCTGGTGAAAAGATTTTGGAAAATGAATCAAAAGTCGCCAGAAACACCAAAAGCTTGTTCAATTCCGAGAAAAATGAATGGCAAGCGCTGCATTGATTCTGAATCGAGAGCAAAAAAAATCAAACCTGCGCTGTACATTTATCTATCAAATAGACGTTATAGATCACCTGTACTTTGTGGAATGCCACCGTGAATAGAGAGAGTGTAAAGCCGAACAAAGCGCGAAGCATTTGGTTCGAACACTGCACTGCACTTTCTTTGATTCGAATTCGCTGTGTTGTTTGGGCTGAGAGAGAGTACAAGCAGAAAAAAATCATTTCATCACAAGATCTACAGGCGGCTAACATTGGGGAGTACTTTCTGGAGACTGAATGCATTGTGAGATTCTTTCTTCTGATAGAAGACAATAGAGAAAGAAGTACAATTCTGAACAAAGTTATGGAAGCATGAGGGAGATAAACACAATTCATTCTACCCATCTACATAAGTAAAGTAAAGTACAAATTCGCTGATTTGTACTTGAACATCTGTTTCGGCTTAGAGGTGAACATCAGGCTTCAAATAATAAATAGGAATTTGACATTGCCTAATCTTGATTAATTTATGTCCAATTTAAAGGAGCGTAATCACTTCCGAATTCTGATGCAAAAATTCATGAATTTCTAGATGGTTTCATAAGTTTTGTTGCTGTTTTGGAAATTCGGAACTTCTTGATGTTTAGGAATCCATTTGAGTCAAAGACCGAAGGATAATCTGTCGCCAATGATTCGAAGCATGCAAAGTTCCCAGACCTTCAGCATTATAATCAGTAACAATTAATGAATGATAAGCTTGAGTTCCTTTTTTTACCAGAAAGTGATTTCGTTCGAATTATAATTTATTTCCCAAGCAATACCAAATAGTTAATACTAAGAAAATCAAATCTCAAGCAACATGTTTCTAATAATTGGGACCGTTCTTCAAAGTAGTATTGAGATAAGAAAGCTTTCATAAGGCAAACTTTAGGTATTTAGTGATATGATTATGGAAATACACAGTTCTTTCACTCCTACAAAACGAATAGCTAAAGTTTTAAAAAACGGGCAAACGTAACAGCTCCGCTGGAGATTATGGAGAGTGGTACAAAAAAAAATAATTCTATAGGTATTTTACACATAATAGCGGAATATCCACTAGATCATTGGATTTTTTCATCATCTTTGCATAGATTACTCTTCTTGTATTAAGGCATCACATTTATAGACTAAAGCTGCTAGATCCAACTGTTCCAAACTATTAGGCTAAAAATAAGTTCGTTTTGGCATGCAAATCTTCATAAACAATTTTCATGCTGTTTTCTATCTACGATTCTTTCTGGAAAATAGACTAAGCCTCCTCTGTCACATATCAAATATTCAGGAATTTCTATCATCAGCTAAGACAGTTATGCTTCAACATGCTAGATTTCCACAAGCTCATTTCTTTGAATTTCTAGGCTCTCCTATCATGCTGTAATGAATGTAGATGGATTCTCACTTCTTAGCAATTTTTTTCTTTAAAGATAAGTTCTACTCGAATGGAATTTATGCTCCAATCCTCATTGAAGTTGTCTTTTCAGACACTGGACAAAAATCTGTCTGCAGAGTCTGTAAGAGCCAAAAAAGCGACCGCACTTAATTATTAGCTAAACCAATATTATACCATTCAAATAATTCAGTGTTTACCGAGCATCCGATTATGTTAATGTTGAAGAAGAAAGGCCTACCAGCCCAAGATAGAACAATCAAACCAGACCGTTATAGTAGCGAACTGTATGCATAAAGGGCAGTTAGTTTCACTCGGTTCAGAAACCCGAGACAAAGACGAAGCAGTTTATGTGCGCGACAATGGTGTGATCGTTGTCGCGCGCGTCGGATGTGGAACATTGTGTGTGAAAGAAGACATATGGGTTTAGGAGTGACAACGTACGATCGCTAATGTGGTGAGACAATAGTGTCGAAGGGTGAAACAGATGAGGACTATAGCCACACGCATATGTTACACTAAGTTCGCGCCTTCATGTGTGTTTATTTATAAACTCTACGATTTCACCCTACCCCCCCCCCCCCACTCTAGAACTCCGAAGAAGATGGCTCGGCTACAGTAGGATGCACTTAGTCCAAGAAGACCATTTTTGGCCCTGCGGAGTGTCGAAAACAACCCGATCATTTCGATCACATGCGGGTGAATGAGCACATTGAAGACGATGCGATATTGCGCGATGGCACCCAGCCAACAAAGACAGTTTTCCCCTCTTCGAAGACTGTTTGTCTGCACATTTTCAGCCCCTCCGCGAATAACAAGCAACACATTTCGTTTCAACAACATTGAGATCCAGTGCTTCACGTGCGGTAAAAAGGGGGGATGTGAAGAAAAATTGGAAAAATTTGATGTGAAGCGAGGGACCGCTAATTCTTTAGAAGTCTTATGAGAATATTGTTGAAAATGTGCTTCTTAGAGATCAAACATAATTTTCTATGTTAATAACAGATCTTTACCAAACTCTTTCAAATTGCGACAAACTATCCTTCAGAGTTTTTGGGTTTCGATTAGCTTCATCTACCTGATTTGAAAGTTTGAAAACACTGTGGTCTCTTATAATGAGAGGCCGCAATAAAAACCCTAGTAAGCTGAACCATGGGCCCTAGAAGCCTTAATAAACTAAAGACAAAACTATTGAGAGTCGAACGTGAATGGACGGGTATCGAATTGAAATTTTATAGAAAGAGCGGATGGATAAGAAATGTATTTCATTCGCATAATAAAAAGAGAAGCTGAAAAATATTTGCCAGGTTTGGCTGAAAAATGTGTCATCACAAATGCTAGTTTTCCAATAGCATTTGATTGTAAATTAAACAATTTCATTACTCTTTCTGACCAAGAGATCATGCTAATGCATCCATTTCCAAGAAATATGAAAGAGCATCTATATCATATAACACTCAGACATCGGGATGGAGGATATTCCGAATCAATCTAATGCCCATATACAGATTTTAATATTGAACCGCAAATTGCCATAGTTGTAAAAATTGCGTAGTTCTAAAAGTTGTCAAAAATTGTCTTGCCATGAAGTTATGAAAATTTCATTTTGCAATCTTAAAGTTTTTCATAGTTGCTACGGGACTATCCCTCATCTTGAATAATCCAGAAATTTCCTTTTTGAGATGATTCAGTCTCGTGAAATTTTGTGAAGCTGAAGTTGAATAAAATAATCTCGAGATTTCTCTCATATATGCAGATCTAAGCTCCTTCTGTAAAATCCTACAACCGCAAGAACGCAAATCAAGGGTTTAGAAAAAAAGTGGGTAAGGTGATTCATATATGTCATTATGGTACCAACTGTCTGCAGGAAGATCAAGAGATTCGTAAAATTCATTTCAAAAGAATCGTAAAGCACACTATCTAGTATTTATTTGAGAGATATATGTACTCTCTGTCTATTTGCGGCTTTATTATAGAATAATCCCTCGGAATTTTCTTGAAATAATGCCAGCAGCAGTAAACATATGTAGGAGGGTTTTTTAAAAATTCGCAAAGCGTTTCAAAACCTTTACTACTTAGCGCTCAAGAAATTCCCTGATGATTTTGTAATAGTGATAGTCGCCCTTGAGGATGGCTGGGAGGCATGGAGTTCCGAGCTTTTGTGAATGATCAATGAAAAACTTTTTTGCTGATTTCGAAAGTGCTGTCCAAGCTATTTACTCCTCCAGCAGTTCAACTTTTCCACCGAAAAAACCAGTTTCTTTCACCTTTCACTGAAATATCTACCACTTCTTTGTGTGTTCACTAATAGGGCGCGATCCTTATCTACGCTTACCAAATTACTTGTTTTGGATCGTTCCGTCATCAATGTCAGATGATGCGAAACCCGAAAGAGAAAAGGTCATATTTCTTGGCACTGTGCCAGGGGTCTTCGCTACAATCTCTATTGCTTTGGGACAGACTTCGAGCGCAGAAAAAAAAACTAGAATTTGCTTGCAGACGGATGGCAACAGCCAAGGACAGCCATTGTGTGCCTTTCCCGCCTAGCCGCACATCACATTTTCACTAACAAAAGCAATGAGAAGCATTGAATAGTTAGGAGAGGATGGGAGGGAGGGAGGGGGAGGGGGGGGGGGGGGGAGAGAGGCTGAGAGACTACAAAGAGTTTCCTCAAAATTTTCTAAAATTATTAAGAAGCTCGCATAGCTATAACAATGGGATAGGACACTTTTGCGGTCGCAACTCGCGAAATACGCGAGATCCGCGGGTTTGCGGGATTTGGCCGTCACTTCTTCAGGGACTAAACATGATTAAGTTCTGCCAGTGTAGTTCATATCCAGCTTGGTGCGGAGATTATTTTTCGGGAAGGAGTATGAAAAAGTTCTTCAGAACGGGGTTGGCCACACACTCCAGATAATTTTCGGCATACTTGCAGATTTATTCGTGCCTATAATTTTTCCGGCATTTTTTGTAATTTCGAGCAAATTTGGAAACAATATCTTATTCCTCAAGTACATTGAGCAACGCAGGTTTTCAATAAGCCTATTATTCTTATAGTTATTGGAGGTAGATAATCTTATCAATTTTCATTGTTATCATCAAAAAATTTTGATATTTGAGTGAAAATAAGTCATTTCCTAGTTTTTATAACTTGTGCAAGTCACTTTAAACCCTTTAGATCTGCCAGCTAGGTCTCATTACTGTAATTTAATGTATACAGTAGGCGTATGGCGTATATAAATTCCAGCTTTTACAGTCCTTCCCTTCTACTTCTCACAGACCCTTGATTCTATTCATCAATACAACTGTAAATAACTGAAGTACCGTAAATGTACCGTATCTTTTATCCCAAATTCGCTACAAAAAACACAAATCTCGAAGTGAAAATCTTGAGAGCAGAAATATATATATTTACAAAGGTAATAACTGCGCAGAAGCTACAGCTCGTCCAACCTCGTTCTCGCAAAGGACCGTGAATGTGCCTAAAATTTTTTTGGCTGAAAATTCCTTAATTTTTTCCTATAAAATTTACCGAAATGGTGCGGCATTACGTATGGAATAGTAAGTCGACAAACATCAGCTGTATCGTCAACTTGAACATCATTAAAACGCATTTTCTCATCGTTGAACAACCAACACACCTGGAATTGAGAGTTTGCACTATAGTCGTTACGTGCATGGAGTGTGAACATATCTTTTTAATGTGGGAAAGACAAATGACAGGAGATGTGCTAGTCGTGAGCAGACAAAACAATGTAAACAATATTTTTGGTTCGAAAGAAACACCTCCTTTGACGAGAAGGGATAATGTGACCTCAATTTTTATTGTGTAAATCTCAGTGAAAAATTTACAAAACTCAAATTAATTTGAGCGAAACCTTATATGCAGTTTATTTTCATTATGGTATATTTTATTGAAATAGATGGATAAGTTACTCAATTCAGCTCAAAAATTGAGAATGAAAGTTGAAAGATTTACAAACGACATCGTTAGCAATTTTTTTAATACGATTTGTGTCGATTTATATTGAACTTAAGAATGAGACATTCTAGCTCCTATCGATATTCTGTTATCGGCCGAAGCATTTAGCAAGAATAAACTTTCCACAGTCCATTTAGACAGGGATGTTGATACTTTAGCTCAATACTATGCCCGGATGTTGATTTTCTAGTTAAAAAACAAAAATTTTAATGAATCAGCATTTTTGATCTTCAGTTGCTGTAGCAGAGAATTTGTTTTATCTTTTTTTTCAGAGAAAAACTGACCTTTGGCCTCGGACTGCCAAGAAGCACACAATCAAAAACAGCTCTTCCACCAACGTGCACTCGAACATCGCCGAACACCTGCAATTTTAGCTGGAAATTAGGAAATTATCAATTAGAAACTATAAATTACTAAATTATAGAATTGTACAAGTTCAAAAATGAGCCCTGGAACAAACACAAACAACCTAGAGCGTAAGATTTGACAAGAAAATCCTGTGTCAATAAATATTGTGGCACCTTCAAAAACTCCGGAGCATAATTCCATGGATTCGAGGCATATTTGTTCTTTGGAATCTCATACGCAAGTTGATTCACTTGCTAAACACACTCTTCAATTTTGATCTTGAGTTACAGTAAACTTCACTAAATACCTTGGTAAGGGGACTGTGCTGAGGTACAGGACGTATAACGCCGTCGATACAGTCTACATTCAGATGGTTACTGTAGTCCACATTCAGATTACTGTAGCTTCGTGGAGGAGGACGTGGCGAGTAGCGGTCCATATCTGGAGTCAGTAGTAAGGAATACTGTACGGCAGTAGGGTTACGGTATGTTAGGTTACGGTAAACTAGAACTGGTCACATAAGATTGATAAGATATTGATGAAGGACCAAATAAGACTTTTGCTACAGAGTTCATGGTGAAAGGAAAAGTAACGATTACAGATCCAAGAAAAACTGTTATTGAATATCAGGGCAACCTTACAGCTCCTGAGAAGAAAAAAGGAAGCCGCTTTGTATATATCCACAATCTGCAGGATGCACTCCCACTCAGCCGGGGGAACTCCCGATTACTTTAAAATACGTCGTGAACGCTCCACTCGTAAAAAACACTCCTATCCGAAGTGTATCCAGCATCTGTGCAGATATCATTCGCTGACAGATGTGGTTTCGAATGCTTGATATATTTTACATGTTTTCAGAAATGTGTACGTTTTGAAATCTTCAAGAAAAGTCCACATTACAGCGAGAAATGCAGTATTATTCACATTCGCAACTGCAGCAGGAATGACATTTGCTAGATAGTCTGAAAAAAAGTGATCTATGGGCTTCTCGTGCAAGTTTAATTATTAGGTTGGTGCAAAAGTAATGGCCGATTTTCCAAACCTTTTTTCAGGGCAACTTTTTTTCCATCAATACTTCTTTTTTACAATGGATGTAGTATACCATCGCGAAGCTGTTTCCATGCTCTATCTAACGGTGCTTGAAACGTGCTCTCATCCTCAGCTTATATATAAAGCTGAATGTCTGTTTGTATGTATGTCTGTCTGTCTGTCTGTCTGTATGTATGTCTGTCTGTCTGTCTGTCTGTACGTATGTTCCGAATAGAAAATTCCATTTCTGAACCGATCCGGACCAAACTTGGCACACATACACTTCGGGCTCCGGCGGGTGTCATAGGCTACTTTTCGCATCGATCGATATCGATTTTATCGATTTTTTGCAAAATTTGAGCTACGGGGCTGGGATTTGGCACAGGGGGGTAAGTGAGCATGCTGATTCCGAATACAGTATCAGTTTTTAAAATTGTGCATTACTTTTATCGATTTTATCGATTTTTTTGCAAAGTTTGAGCTACGGGGCTGGAATTTGGCAGGGGGTGTAATCGAGCATGCTGATCACTCCCACGGGGGTGATCAGCATGCTCGATTACCCCCCTCTGCCAAATCCCAGCCCCGTAGCTCAAACTTTGCAAAAAAATCGATAAAATCGATAAAAGTAATGCACGGTTTCGAAAACTAATATTGTATTCGTAATCAGCATGCTCGATTACCCCCTGTGCCAAATCCCAGCCCCGTAGCTCAAATTTTGCAAAAAATCGATAAAATCGGCATCAATCGATAACGAAAAGTGGACTGTGACACCCGCCGGGGCCCGAAGTGTATGTGTGCCAAGTTTGGTTCGGATCGGTTGAGAAATGGAATTTTCTATTCGGAACATACGGCGGAGCCGGGTATGCCAGCTAGTCTGTTGTAAAGTTACTGAGCTTCAAATAACCGCATCCAAATTCAGAATTTCATTGCTTTCACTTTTCCGGCCAGAATTCAAGCGCGTATCAATGGGATTTCTTCGAAAATTTAGCTATTGTATGTAATAGAAATTGTCTACATTATGCATATTTGACTGTGTTCTTCGAGTCTATCCAGACTGAGATATCGGCGCCTAAACATGGGTAGCTATGCGGTCATTTTATAACCCATAATTTTCTTCTGAAGAAGTCAATCGCCGGAGCTTTGCTCAATTCTGTAAGCGTAGGGCTAGGGCATCCGTTAGCAGTTTTTGCAAAAACATCCAGCTGTTCAGTACCTAGAAATCAAAAAATTCTATATTCGGGACTTTGAGGCACACTGAAAAAATGTTCAAAAAAGTGAGAAATTTCAAATTTCAATTTTTTTCTTTTTCAAACTTTTCTGTCCGAATTCTTTTTATTGCGTTTTGTACTACTGGCTTGCGGCTACAAGATACGCTACTTAACATTTATACTAACAAACTTTGAAGGAAGATATGAATTGTCAAAGACAAGGTTCTAGCAGAAGAACCTTTTTTATTTTTCAATCCATATTTTTCTGCCCGTTCGTGATGTGAGTATAAATAAATGTGCGCTGCATTGCAGAAGGTTTGCTGCTTCTGATAGTCTTTACCGCATTCGGAAATGTGAATTCTTCCAGAAGTTATAGCACGTCAAATTGAGAATTCGCAAATCGGCCATTACTTTTGCACCAACCTAATAATTCCCATTTATTGATTAGGAAACCTAAATTGTCCGTACATTTTGAACAAAGACGCCAAAAAAATTGATTCATCAGAGCATTCCAATTTAGACCAATAGCATTTGCTCGATGCTCAATAAAAAAAGTTTTTGGTCACCATTTACCGAATTTGAATGAGCCTAAAAATCGCAACAATTTACCTCGAACCTTCAAGCGAGAAAATCTGACATTTTCTTAGAATGCAATGAAGCCATTGTTGTTAAGGTTTTAGCCTTATTCTAGTGATCTCTGTAAAAAAATTTTTTTCCACAATTACCATATGCGGCGAAAATGATTACAAAAAATGAAGTTAAGCCCCAAGTCAGTGCTAAGACTACTTTTACGATATGTTCTAAAAAAATGCTCAAGATTTCATGGATATTGAATAATTCAGGGCTCGGCACAGGTGGCTTATGAGCAACCTGGATATCATTTTTGGGACAGAAAGCAAAGGGGATATCGTTTTTGCCAAAAAGACACAAAATAACACAAAAATTGCGTTTTTTAAGGATTATGTTCTAGGGTCTAAGGCTTCGTAAAAACTCGCAAAAGTCAAGGGCGACTTCGTTTTTTGCATTTTCGAAAAGCCTCGCGCCAAGCCCTGATTGAATTGTAGTTTACATTTCCTAAACGTCGATGCTATCAACTTGTCCTAAACCCTGCATCGAGATTTTCAGAAAAACGTAATCTCTCTAGCTTTTAGCGGATTTGTGCAATTCGACATAGTGTAGAAAAAATAGTTATGACCTTTCAGTGAAGAACCGTGCTGAACAGATGTTTCTACAGACAAATGCGATTTTCGAGTTTTTTGCTCAACGTTTTTGATTTGGTTTGAATAAATTTTCTGATATGCAAAGTAAAGTAGAACATTAACTACTTACTAGAAAAAAGGCTGGAGAGCATGATAAAACGTTTTTGAGCATTTTCACAACGATTTTCACACTTTTGTGCGAGGACTGATTTAAAACTTTACACAAATAATGCGCAAAAATAAAATAGAAAATTGGAAAATTGGTTTGAGTGGTTTAAAGTATATAATTATAGTTTATTTAATATTATGGTTTATTTGGTTATTTTGTTAACTGGTTTATTCACAATGTTTTTTAAATCTATTTAGCATTTTACAGCTTGTATAAAACACAAAAAATAAAAAAAGTTTTGACTCGTAATCACTTGCACGCCTACACAACGCACAGAAAAAATCTGATTATTTGTAGAGGCACCCTCGCACAAAATTCTTAAGCAAGATAAAACCAGAGAGCTGGATCTTGGCAAAATTAGAATCCCACCCAGTGGAGAATAGAATGAACTATCAGCGGTTAAAAAAATGATTGATCTTACACCGGAAATTGACATCGATCGATAGAAAAATCACATGTAGCTGAGGGGTGGATTGCTATGCGGAGTGAGTGAAGTGCAAACATCGGTGAAGACTCGCCATCGGAAATGAGAAAAGAATGTCAACCAAGAGTGAGACAGTGCGCAAACGGAAGATGTGTCGTGCACGAAAAAAACGAAAAAACCGGGAGAGATTTGTGTTTTTCACCGTCTTTCCAGCAAAATGAGAGGATTTGAGCGCAGTCAGCTGATTAAGGGGTAAATAAGAGGATTGGAGCTCGAACTTCCAAAAAAGAACTTGCAATTAGCGAACCCTTAAGTGCAAGATGGAGCGAAAGAAAGCGTGGATAGAACTCTGCTAGTTGATATGTAGATTCGACCTCAAAGTTTGGCCAAACAACGACGAATCTTCCTAGCACTGGCAGAGATCCAGCTTGACTTCCGAGGTTTACCTAATCTCTACAACGAAGTAAGAGGAAATATTTGTTCGCTGTTCCCTTCGGCACCCACGCAAAGCTTGAATTCTTCTCAAACATCACCAGTTGATGATTCCCTACTCACAAGCGAAGCAAATAAACTGCCAGCTGGGTAACCTCTTACCAAATGTGCAAGTGACTTATGCTTGTAAATAATCCAAATATTTTTGAAAATTTCCAAAAGTTCATACTAGCTTTGCAAAAATTTCTCTCTGTAACGCCGCGCACATATTCGAAAATTTTTTTTGTCCCCTCCCCTCCCCTCGTACCTCATCCAAACGGAAATCCTGGGTACGCCATTGGTAAGTAAATATCTACAGTGCTTATTAGTAAGCTGATGTGTTTGATTCAGACAGAGAAAAGCTTTATTTTTGGTCTTCCGATCCTGGATATTTCGAATTTGACCAGCTTTCGGATCATGCGTAAATTTCTCCAGTTCGCTAATAAAAATCTGTTTTCGCGGATTTGTTGTCTACTACCTAATCTATATTAGGCACAAAAACAAATGCGTCACAGTCAAAAAGAGAAAAGTTACGAAATCTTATATATAAAGCTGAATGTCTGCCTGTATATCTGTATGTCTGTCTGTACGTATGTGGGTAATGAAAATTTTTATTTCTAAACCGATCTGGACCAAACTTGGCACATATACACTTCAGGGCGGGAGCGTGTCACAGGCTACTTTTCGTCATCGATCGATATCGATTTGATCGATTTTTACCAATTTTTTTTGTAAAGTTTGAGCTACGGGGCTGGGAGTTGGCACAGGGGGTAAGTGGGCATGCTGATTTCGAAAACAGCACAGACGAGAAATGAAGTGTAGAAGTGGGCACAGGGAAAGGCTGTACAGGAATATTGATAGGATCTTTATTACAGTGAAGCAAGCTAATAAGTGATAAAACTTATGTGCCAACCTAACATAAAAATCGCAAACTTGTAA